CCGTGGCCATGACGGGCCATACCTGGGGATTCACATCAGGAACGGTGTCAGACGTGCCGGTGCTGTTCTGCCTAATCCTCGTACGGACGCTAACAGGCGTGTCAGTTCACCACGACGTTCGCCAGGACGAAGTGGAACACCATGACCGGCAGATGATGCATGCGCATGACGCTAGTGACGAACAGGGCCGCGACATGGACCTGTCCCTATTGACATTTACAGGATCAGCGAGACCCGCATGAAGGAGAAGAAGGACCCGACAACCCTAGAAGCCTTCTTCTCTTTTCCTCCTCTGTAACCCACGCTTTTCCTTCACCTATAAAAGAGGAAGCAGGACACCCCACGGGGAAAGGGGAACATAAGAGCACGACACAAGCACACGGCTGAGCGGCAATCGAACTCTCAGCACCTGTTCACTCCTTCCGCTAAAGACTTGGGATCCTTTCCCTTTTTCGCCTGTTTGTAACCCCTACTGCAAACCAAGTGCCGGTAACACGAGCAGCAGTGAACTGGACGTAGGAATGTTTCGCCCGAACCAGTATAAACCCTTGTGTCCTCCGAGCACCCCATCCGAGCCAAACGCGTAAATACAAATTTACTCGTCGGTGGTCCGAAAACACCAACAACTGTAATGAAAAGTTATATAAGTTGTGAGAAAGTTGTTTATGGCAGAGCGTGCTAGACTAGCTATTTGAAAGTCGCTAGCTATTTGATCTCTCTTCTTTGATAGCCAATAGAATTCTTTCTACACTAGCTATTTGGGAACCATTGGGGACGCCCTAAGATGGATCTACGCGCAAGGTCCAATGCACTACACAGTACTCCCTCCGTCCCTAAAAGAATGTAATTCTGGAACATTGTCATGTTTTAGTATATCAAGTTTGACCAATTATAGATTAAAAAAAGTGTAAATTTTTATAATATAAAAATAAATATCATTAGATTAATTATGAAATGCATTTACATAATAAATTTATTTGGAGCCATAAATGTGAATATTATTTACTAGAAACTTGGTCAAGCGTGGATCATTTTAAGTGACATGCAACCCATAGTTTTATTCTTTTGGGGACAAAGGTAGTACTCCCTCCGTCCAAGAAAACATGCAATTCTAGCACAGTATCACGTTTTAGTATCTTAAGTTTGACCAGTTATAAATAAAAAAGTATCAATATTTATGATATCACGTAGATATTATTAGATTAATTATGAAATATATTTTCATAACAAATTAATTTAGAGCCATAGATATGTATACTATTCACTAAAAATGTGGTCGAACTACTTTTTCTAACACGCAATCTATAGATACATGTTTTTATGCACCGAGGGAGTACTTACAGTTGTCAAAATGACTGCACAAACTTTAATCAAGGGCCACGTTCGCCCAGGACAAGCGCTACCAATGCCCAGGTTTTGCGCGTGATCATTTTGTCCGCGGATCCACCGCGACGTCAGGACAAGCGCTACCAAAACGAGCGAAAAAGTTTGCTATGGCCTCTGCGTCCACCCACGTCGCACTCGCACCACGGCAAAGACATCAACTGCCCTTTGCTTTGTTGTGCCGCGTAGAACTCCCGGGTGCATTTTTCTCCCGTCGGTCTGCGGCTCAGCCATGCCTGACGGAGTCAGAACAACCGGTCACGGTAGTGGGGGTGACCGGGAATCCTGTGCACCGACGGGAAAGCTTTTTAGCGGCGCGGCGCACTGGCGCGAGCGAAAAAATTATCGCGCGCTGAAAAACCGTCACAAAGCCCACATGGCAGAGAGACACGAAAAAAAAAGCGCGAGGTTAGAGAGCTCATCCTGGGACGTGACTCCAATCTCGCGTGCCTTTTTTCCCCAATCTGGCAATCTCGCAGCCTCGGGGTCCGTGGCAGAACTGACGGTGACAAACATCGCTCCAGCCCATTTTTGGTAGGGCACCAGAATCATTCAACCTGGCAAAGCTGAAGGATCTATACTTTTTTTTTTTTTTTGCGAAACATGAAGGATCTATACGTTGACGCAACAAACACAAAGAAGAATGATGCTGGCGATGATAGAGCTCACAGGGATTCTGGAACAAAATGATGGGCTGTATTTCTTGACTTGAACTTGAGATTTCAAAGATTCACTGCCAGAATGGTGGATTTCTCCTAGTGTTTTAAGTAGCAATAAAACACTATCACTGGTCATAGCACACGAGAATCTCACTATGAGACATTTAGTAGAGAAATTTATACTAAATTTTGAATGTTAAAACACTAGGAGAAGTCCACCTCACTAGGAGAAGTCTAAAAATCTGATTGAGATTTACTCTGAAGTTTTTCCCCGTTATGCTGTTTTACGTGGAAGTTCTGTTGCTTATCTGCCAATGGTTGGTGTCACAAAATTGGCTCCAACGTTATTGGCATTGACAGTTTGCTGTATTGCTGTATCTTTCATCACATTTGTGTTAATCACTCCATAATGACGCAATAACCACGTGTATATTTTCAACGTATGTTCCTTCTGAAAAAAATGTACTACAATGTAGCCTTGCTGGTGACCAAAGGTATATTATAACTTTAAAAGAATATATGTGGTGAACAATTGTTCAATAAAAACACTTATTGCTTCATTGTATCATTTACCCATGTTAAACGCAAGAAGGAATTCAACGGTTCTATCATTCAGGTATATAGTTGTGTTCTATTTCTTCTCTCTGCACAAAAAAAAAAAGATGATAAAAATCTATTGCTCCTATGGGAACACATGAGCTTCAGTGGAGTATAAATACATAATGTAGTATCAAACTCCTTGCTATTCATTTAGTTCTAAAGATAAAATCTTGCGAAATGTTAACAAGAAATGCTATCAGTTGGTTTGTTTTTCTACCCCTTGTCTTAAGGTTCATTAATCATATATAGACTCACAGACACTTATGTTCATTTGGTGTTTCCTCGCAAGATCATGATTTTAGATGGAGTAATCAGTTTGTTTTTCTTCACAATAATTTAATTCTCAATTTGTATAGGATACCTATGTTTTAGAGAATTTGACCGCAGTACAAGGTGTTCAGCGGCGTTATCTGCTCAAATACATACAACTAGAGTACATAAAGAAACTGCCAAGAAAAGGTGTATGCCTGATTCCAAGCCGAATTTAGGGGAGGTAATGGCAAAGATACAGCCCAATGCAGTGTAGAGCATGGACCACCTTCTCTCTTCCCAAACATATATAACTTCTGTAAGCCAATATAATAAGTGTAGAGCACCTACTTTTTTCATTCAATCCAATATGACATTTAAGGCTACTAATAAAGAAAGCAGCATGCAACACGGTGGCGTACTGCCCCATCATCCATGTAGACGTACCAAGAGTAGTGGTCTCACAATTGCTCATAGGCCTTGTATAGATTCCAAGTTTTTTCACTTTTTTTCGTCACATCAAATCTTTAGACACATGTATGGAGTATTAAATGTAGATAAAAAATAACTAATTACACAGTTTAATTGTAAATTACAAAACAAATCTTTTGAACCTAGTTAGATCATGATTAAACAATAATTATCAAATATAAATAAAAATACTATAATATCACGTACTAATTCCTAACCACGAACTAAACAAGGCCATAGTCACCTGCATAGGAGTCGTAGTATCAACTGACAAAAAGGAGAAGCCACTGATGAAAAACGCGTTGGGGGAGGGAAAGTAGCTGCTTCGGGAGCAGTGAAAACAGGAAAGGCTGCTGCATGCACTGTCAAAAGCTTCTGACAATAGCGTTGGGCGTGCCCTAAGAGCAAGTTTAGTAAGTACGCCGCTGCCGGTTGCAAGGAGCGCCGGGTCACTTCAGCTGGGGATCGGTGGCGACGGTCTCATCCATTCTTTAACGCTCGGCGTGTTTACAAACGACGTGGGAACCAATGGGAATTGGAGGAGCTGGGGAATAGGCCATTTCGCCCGTTTTTTACCGGCGTTAAGCTAGTCGCCCGCTCGCCTCTCTATCTTGCTTTCTTTCTCTCCCACGTCAGATTGTGCTGATGTGTTAGGTCATTTTGCCGACTGAGCTGGCCTCATTATACTTGCTCTAAGGCCACCCCCCAACGCTCCTACGTGTCTTGAAGCCTCTAACTGCAAAAATAGCCAACTCACCTTGCTAGTAGCTTGTAGAAATGTCATATTCTTCTGCAAAAGATGTTATAGTTTGGCTGACATAAAGCATGAAATTACTGGTTCTCTGATAGAGCAAAGGAGGTAAAAGCTGACATGTAAAGAGGAGAGAGAAGAAGGGTACGGACACTGACGAAAAAGCAACTGCTGCCTACGTTGTGTGTACAGTAGTGTTGCTGCGCTTTTTGGTGAGACTACTAGTGTCGTATACCTCCGTTGAGGCTGCCCTAAGATGTTCTCACTGGTGCTGTAAGTGCAATGGCTCTGATCGCTGAGCTCAGCTTTGCACCTGCTTCATATCTGTGGTACAACTGTACAAGCAACACCATCCGAATGGTGTCAATGAAAGTGGACGATCCTTTTTTTTCTCTGTCACAACAGCCGAATGGTGTCAAGGAGTAGTACACAACAAATTCACCTCTGACTTTTTGTATTGGCACACTTTTGTAATCGCAAAGATTGCATTTTTCTCCTCCTTTTTAAGGTCAGCCAGTTACACGATTATTACATGTCACTGACTGTGCAACTGCATACGAGCTGAAAGGAAACTCCGAGACAGTAGGGAAAGCTTCCAGTTGATTTTGAATTTTTGAAAACGAGTGCAAATCCCTCACTCCTTTGAGAGACTTGAGCGCATGAGCAGCAGAACAGGTACACCGTCGTCCTGAGCTGAAAAGCACCGAAACATATAAAACGCCCGACGTCTTAAACAAATCCCGCCTTGTTTCCTCCGACCCTTTTTCCACGCTTGCGGCTTGCCTGCTAGCTTCCTTCCTCAGATCCACTGCACCTCTCCCCGTTCCCCAGCCGGGTGCCTGCCGGGCTTCTCGGAAGGGAGGGAGGGGCTGAGCAAGGTAGAGGCGATGGGGGCCGAGGAGGCGGCCGGCGGAGGCGGCAGCTTGCCGGGGTTCTTGGGGAGGAAGAACCGGTACGCGCGCGTGGACGACGTGCTCCCGCAGGAGCCGGAGGACGGCGGTGGCGTCCGTGTTCGCGGCGGCGCCGGAAGCTGCCGGAGATACGTCTTTGCCTGCTCCGTCTTCGCGTCCCTCAACCACATCCTGCTCGGCTACGGTGAGAAGAGCTCCACTAGAATGGCGTTTCGTTCTTGATGCAGATTTGGTCTTACTTGTTCGGCTAGAAATGGCTGTAGCTTTCCCTTTCTTTGGTGGTTTATTTAAAGCTAAACAACCGACAACTTGGCTTGCGATTATCACACTACACTAGTAACACGGAGCTCCTGTTTTGCAGTAACGAGAAGTCAACACAGCCCTCTAATCGCAAGCCAAGTTATCTACGAAAGCATGTTATCTTAGATAAATAAAAGAGTCATATAAAATGTTTTTGGTAATCAATCTGTTAATGCCAATCTTGTGCACACTGAAACTGTTCTGCAAATAGTCCAGCAGAAATGTTTTGAAGTCTATCATATGTCCATATATAATGGGATGATGTCAAACTGTTCTGCAAACTCATTTGTTGTCTCATTTACTAGGACTAGGATGCTCTTCCTCATACTGAAACTGCTGAAATTAACTGCAAAATGTATCTGGAAATGGATCTGCACCAATTTTTTTTCCTTTGTGATCTTTCACTGACAGTGTTCTGTTCATGTGATTATGTGTTGGTGTGTCCAGATGTGGGTGCGATGAGCGGCTGCATCATCTTCATCCAGAGGGATCTCCACATCACGGAGGTGCAGCAAGAAGTGCTCGTCGGATGCCTCAGTTTCATCTCCCTCCTCGGCAGCCTTGCTGCCGGCCGGACCTCGGACGCCATCGGCCGCAAATGGACCATCGGCCTCGCCGCTGCCGTGTTCCAGGGAGGCGCGGCGATCATGGCGCTCGCGCCGTCCTTTGGTCTGCTCATGGCGGGGCGGCTGCTGGCCGGCATCGGGATCGGGATCGGAATCATGGTGGCGCCCGTGTACATCTCGGAGATCTCCCCGGAGACGCTGCGGGGCTCCCTGGGGTCCCTCCCGGAGATCTTCATCAGCTTCGGCATCCTCATCGGGTACGTCTCCAACCTCGCATTTGCGGGCCTGCCCGACAACATCAACTGGCGCGTCATGCTCGCCGCCGGCATCCTCCCGTCCATCTCCATCGCGTTCGTGCTGCTTGTCATCCCGGAGTCGCCGCGGTGGCTGGTCATGAAGGGACAGGCCGGCGACGCGCGCGCGGTGCTCGTCAAGGTCTCGGACAGCGAGGAAGCGGCGGAGGAGAGGCTCGCCGAGATCGAGGAGGCCGCGCGCGCCACCGCCACCGCCTCCGGCGGCAACGGCAAGGAAGCGTGGCGGGAGCTGCTGAGGCCGTCGCCGGTGACCCGCCGGATGCTGGTCACCGGGCTGGGCGTCCAGTTCTTCCAGCAGGCCACCGGCATCGACGCGCTGGTGTACTACAGCCCGACCATATTCCGCGACTCCGGCATCACGACGGAGAGTCAGCTCCTGGGCGCCACCGTCACGGTGGGCGTGGTCAAGACGGTGTTCATCGTGATCGCCATCGTCCTCGTCGACCGCGTTGGCCGGAAGCCGCTGCTGTACGTCAGCACGGCCGGCATGACGGCGTGCCTCGCCTTGCTGGCCGCGTCGCTGTCGCTGCTGAAGAGCGGCGCGCTGCCTGGCGGCGTCGCCGTCGGGCTCGCCATCCTCACGGTGTGCGGCTTCGTGGCGTTCTTCTCGGTGGGGATGGGGCCCATCAACATGGTGCTGAGCTCGGAGATCTACCCGCTGCGGCTACGCGCGCAGGCCGTGGCGGCCGGCTTCGCGCTCAACCGGATGGCCAGCGGCGCCGTGGCCATGTCGTTCCTCTCCATCTGCCGCGCCGTGACCGTCGCGGGTGCGTTCGCCGCGTTCGCGGCCGTCTCGGCGCTGTCCGTGGCGTTCGTGCATCTGTGCGTGCCCGAGACGAGCGGCAAGACGCTGGAGGAGATCGAGTCGCTGTTCGGCGGCGGCGGTGTGAGCGTGGCGCACGGGAACGGCGGGGCCGGCGAGGTGGAGCTCGGTGACGCCGAGCGGCTTGAGCACAAGAGGCTAGTGTCGCACGCGTCGAGCTGAGCGTTGCGGCGCGAACAGCAAAACCGTATTAGACACGCAGAGTAGAAAACAGCGTTGTATTCTTTTCTTTTGCGTGAAAAATGAATACTTTCCCTCCTATGTTAGGAGGACGAGCTGTTGTATACGCACAAGCTCAAGCGTACATATATGTGCATCACCAATCATGCATGTATGCATGTTTTCATTCGCAGAGAGTATTATACTCCAGTTCTAAATTATAAGTCATTTAGACTTTTATATTTTTTACTATTTTATTACTATACATCTAGATATATGGTACTAAATTCGTTTTAAATTAGAGTTCATTTGACTTTTTTAACCTCAAGTTTGACCACTCGTCTTATTCAAAATTTTATGCAAAATATCACTTCTCTTGTCGTGGCTTATTTTATTAACAAAAATTCTTCAAGAATGACTTAAATTTTGACTTCTCTTGTTGTGTGGCTTACTTTATTAACAAAAGTTCTTCAAGAATGACTTAAATTTGACTATGTTTGTACAAATTTTTGAATAAAACGAGTGGTCAAATTTGAAGTACATCCTAATACATGTCTTTTACTAAATAAATAATTTTTATCCATAGCAAAATTTAGAAAGAAAAGAGTACTTTAGAAAACCACTTATCCTTTTAATTGTACTAGTTAAAATTGAAACCTAAAAAATCAATATAGTAACTCCCTTAGAAAATGATTTAACATAAGTTCTGCTATCATGTTAGAAGATATGGTTCTAGCATTTGAATGATGTTGTACTCCATATTCCAACTTTGAATTTTCCCCTTTTACATCTCACTTAGAGCACTTTTACATTTTGTTGAAGCCGTGTAGAACTTGCACAAAAGTGTTCTGTTCCTATGTAATCTCTCAAATTTGGACGTGATTCTAGATCAAATACATCATTGAGAGGGAAAACATGTAATGTAGACGAAAAAGTGAATGCAATAATCCATGCCTATCCGGCTTAATCCATAACACTGCAGGAAAAAACACAAATTTAAGCCCATGACCAGCAAAATAATCTACCTAACCAATACACACACAACTGTATTATTTGTTCCTCCTCACATATTTGGAAGTTATTATACACACACTACATATATAAAGCAACCTTACACCATTACACAATGAATCCGTATATCTTTTCTCATGAAGTAGTTTGAAAAAACAACCATTGAAGAAAACTATTACAAAACTATGTTTTGTCCATGAAAAATTATAGCTCTTCAAGATCAAATACCTGAATATTTGGGAGAAGCGGTTTTTTTGTGGTATATATTTTCAAAATGGTTAAAGTTCATAATATGTACCCAAAAAGTTTTAGTTTTATCATTCTTATGTTAGAATAGCTACTATCCTTTTAAAGAAAAACTACTACTCGACTTAAAAAAGCATTACTCATCTATAAACTTTGATTTTTTTACCCTTCAGATCTAGCTTGATGATTGGAGCACATTTATTTTGTTTGGTTGCTTTGTTTAAGTCAAATTTCTCTAATTTCAATCAAGTTTATAGAAAATGCACCAATATCTATAATTATTTTTTGTTAAATTCTTCATAAACTTGTTTTCATAGTGTTTTTATTTCAACTATGTTAGAGAAGTTTGATTTATGATAAAACTATAGTAAAATATATTTCCGAATCGAGGGAGTACTTCATATTCGTGTTTGACAAAAAAAAAGCGACAATGGTCATTGGCCTTTTAAGTCCTAACTTTGAGCCCTTTTATTTTGTTGATGAGAAGTCGAGAACTTTGCGAAAAAGAAAAAAGCGGAATCGCTAGTGCCCGGATGTCCGATCCGGCACTAACATCTAGACGCCATACGCCGCTTCTCGTGCATGTCGCCCGTCCATAACCAATTCGCTCTCCACACGCATGCATGCGAGTCCCCTTGCATCGGAACGCCCCCACGCACGCCCGACACGTCCGCACCTCGCGCCCCTGCACCTCATCCCCATCTCCATCCCCTTCCTCATCCCTAGCCCCATCCGTTTGCCTCGTCCCCGCAGGAGCACCCCACCCCATCGTGCCCCTGATGACGGCTCCGCTTCCCAACATGCTCATGTCCCCCCCTTCTCCAACGCATCCCGTTCCCCCACCGCGCCACTGTCCCAAAAGATCATGAAACACTTCTACTGCAATATTGCAAAAATATATGGAAAAACTATATAGTGCAGCATCGGGTTGTAAATACTGCAACATCGAAAAAAATATGTAGTGCAACAATAAAAAAAACATGCACTCCAAACATCGAAAAATATCTACTACGACAACGGAAAATATGTACTGCAACATCAAAAAAATATATAAGGCAACATTGAAAAACATGCACTGCAACATCGAAAAAAATCTACTGTAACAACGAAAAATATCTACTGCAACAACGAAAAAATATGTACTGCAACATTAAAAAACATGTACTGCAACATCGAAAAAACATATACTGCAACACCGAAAAATTATGCTGCAACATTCGAAAAAATGTAGTGCAACATCTCAAGCAGTAGTATCGCAACATCGTAAAAACATCTGTTACAATGATCCAAAAAATCCCACTGCATCATTCGAAATCATCTGTTGCAACATAAAAAAACCCATTGTAACACGGCGAGATCTGACTCCAGAGCTCGCCGGAACCCTAGCCACCGCCGCATCCCTCATATCTAGAGGAGAAGGAGGATGAGGGCTCAGATCCAGAGGAGGATGAGGAGTAGGGCTCAGATTCAGATCCCTCCGCGACCTACTCGTCGGAGCCGCCGCCGTCGTCCTCGTCTCCGGTGGGGGTGCGGGAGCCAGGTAGCAGGGAGCGTAGGGGTGCATGGAGGTCGCGGAGGGGCGAGGGACAGAGGGAGAGAGCACGGGCGGGCAGGGGGCGCAGCGAGCTCGCGTGTGCGGGCGCGGTGTCCCTGTCCCGAGGACGGCCCGGAGAGCGGGCGAAGAGCGAGTGCGGGGGAGCGGGTAGAGCGGGGGAAGTGCGAGTGCGGGGGAATAGGCTGTGGAACAGTGCGTCCGGCCGCCCGGTCTATATCATTACCAAAGAAAAAAAGTAATTCAAGTGTATTGGGCTTGGTCTCGACCATGACCCTGTAAAAAACCCACTCTTAGGTTGTCTTTAATTGGAGATCCACTGCGGAACCTAAATTGAAAATAGGTCTTCAACATAATATCTATAGCCTCCAATAGAATACCTATATGGAAGATCAATTTTAGGTGCTGAGTATTCTCTCTTCTAGAGATCTATTTGTAGAAAATGGTTGTCTTTTGAGTCTTAATGTTAGAGAAGACAAAAAAAATAGGTATTAAACTTTTTACCTGTAACGCTATCAAAGGATAAATGGCAATAGAGTACTTATATGAAAGACCAATTTTAGGTGCTGAGTATTCTCTCTTCTAGAGATTCATTTGCAGAAAATAGTTGTCTTTTGAGTCTTATTGTTAGAGAAGACAAAAAAAAAAATAGGTATTAAATTTTTTACCTGTAACGCTATCGAAGGATAAATGGATGTTGTATTTTAGGTCGTCACTGTAGGAGACAGTCCTGTCCCATGGCGAAACAAATTCCAGTTATCTTTAACCGACCACGCGAATTTAAAACGCGTTATTAATCAGGCTGGCGGAGCAAGCCACGCAAAGTAAAGCGCACCCATCCAGATACACACGAGCACGCGCCCACACCCGCACAGCACCACCAGCCCACCACCCAGGCCGGCGCCGCCCAAAATCTCCGCGTCCCCCTCGCCCACCATGGCCTCCTTCTTCGGCGACGACGGCGCCGACGACCTCCCGCGCACCACTTCCCACCCCTTCGACTCCGACGACTTCGGCGCCGCCGCGGCCGACGGCGACGGCGCCGGCGGGTACGGCGGGTACGCCTCCTTCGCCGAGGGGGGCGTCGAGGAGGTGGACGAGGAGATCACCGTCGAGTCAGACGGGGTCCCGATCCGCCACGTCTCTGGGGGTTACTCGCCCTCGCCGTTCTCCCCCGAGCTCGAGCCCAACGGCGGCGACGGCCCGATCCTGCCGCCGCCCACCGAGATGCGGGACGAGGGCATCCTCCTCCGCGAGTGGCGGAGGTGAGCCCCGCCGGCGCCGGTTCCGATCTGTTTGGGGGGATGCGCCATTTTGCTGCATGTATGCTTGCTTGCGTGTGGGCTAGGTTTCCGGGTGTTCGAGTCAGATCTAACGCTTTCTGGCGCTCTTTCGACTAATTTTAGCCGCTTCTTCTGCACTACGGAGGTGAAACACAGCGAGGGTTTCTGTACGGAAATTGTTGGTTTCTATTACTTCGGTTCATTAGGAATTTGGACACTCTAGAAATTGCTGTTAAGGGAATAGCCAGTCGTGGACTAGTTTCTAAGCTGAGAACTTGGGTATAGCTGCAGGCCTTCTAGGGCCTTCTAGTTCTCCATTAAGTGTTTGAATCGTTGGTACCATATAGCTGTAACTATAGTTGTATCGGCTAGCATCTCTATTTTTGCCATACTACCACTGATATCAGTAGGATGTGTGGAGCTACTGTATGCACATCACCATATGGTACAATATGAAAATTGCAAATATAACAGTGTGCAGTAATTTTCCATGAACACTTAGCGCCTACGGTCCCAGCGCTCAAAGTCATTTTCTTGTGCTTTTACCCCTGAAGTTAGTTTCTTACAGCAATTCAGAGGTATTAAACGCAGTGACAATTTTTCCTTGGAAATTTGTGTTTTTCTGTTAGCTAGATTTCATTAGAATGAAACTATGTATTGCTCAAGTTTCTATTTGACACACTCCAACCAAAGGAACCTAGGAACGTTTTTTATTAAAATAACTTTAGGCATATACAACTAGAATTGGTGTGCTACTCAATATAAAGTAAAATTCAACCTAAGCTAGCATGACATAATTCATCTTGTATCAGTCCTTGCCTATACAGCCTATTATTATATTTTATCAAACTAGTATTTTATGAACCAAGTCTCACAGAAACTAGAGGAATAGGCCAAATCAACCTTCTAAAATATGAATTTGTGGCATGCAATCATTTAAGCTTCCAAAAATCATATTGGTAGGAGAATTCTTTTTGTTGGATTACCTTGTACTCTAAGAATCAGATAATAGTTAGACTTACAGTCCTACTGTATGATTGTTCTCTTCCAGGTGATTGATGCATTGCTAGGATATACTGGTAAACCTTGATTGTAGGATGTCTTAGCACATGTATGATGGCACTTATGCACATGTTGTGAATATAACTAGTTAGCTATGCACCAGTGGTCTTCTGCAACCACTTAATGCTTTGTCTGGTGCTTCATTCTTCCAACCGTATGCTTTGTTGATATTACTCCAGTCCTGACCAAGTAACCACTAGGTGGACACATTTATTCTTTTAGATTTAGATGTTCATATCTGTTGATTTTCTTGAAATCCTCAAATCAGTGAAGGTATACCTCCCAGAGAAAATCCACACATTCTTTTGTTACCACTCGTCATTTGTTACCTTGCAAAATGTGTGCGCTTCCTAGCATTATAGTCTATGAAGCAGTTGTCTGTTGATACAGCCTTGCTTATTTTGTGGTTTAGTGCACGCCTATATTGACTTCTGAGTTTACTTTAGTAGTTAATTAATAGAAGTTCTTGAGTATTGGAATTGTGTTGTGTCATAATTTAAGGTGTGTTTGGTATGATCTGCTGCATCAGGACATCGTCCCAGGCTTGTAGCAGTAGCAGATTTGTCTATATTCGGAGTGACATTGATTTGGATTTAGATTTAATGATTATCTTCTGGAAAGCCCAGTAAAGTCATTTTTGTAAGGAATCTGTAACTATTGTAGGGTGCTTTTGTACAGACCAAAGTAACTGTCATGTCTTTTATGTTTCTCAGATCGAACGATGTCATTTTCTTATCTTCCTTGATTTTTTTATGCCACTCTAGTTTTAATTTGTTATTGCTTCCTTTTTCAACAATTTTCTTAGGAAAAATGCTATTGAACTTGAGAAAAAGGAACAGAAGGAGAAGGAGCTACGTGCCCAAATAATTGCTGAAGCTGAAGAATTCAAGAAAGCTTTTTTTGAGAAGAGGATACAGAACTGTGCGTCAAATATGGTCAACAACAGAGAAAGGGAGAAGGTTTGTGACTATCATATATAAGCAGTTAGGGCTCTTGTCTGTGTTTGTAAGCTAATCTATTTATATGTTGGATACTAATTGCTCTTGTGGTATGCTGCAGATTTTTGTAGCCAGCCAGGAGAAATTCCATGCCAACGCAGACAAGCAGTATTGGAAATCGATTTCAGATCTCATCCCACATGAAATAGCCACCATTGAGAAGCGGGGAAAGAAAGACAAGGACAAGAAGCCATCCATCACTGTTATTCAGGGCCCCAAGCCTGGCAAGCCCACCGACCTCTCCCGGATGCGCCATATCTTAGTGAAGCTGAAGCATGCTCCACCGCCACATATGTTGCAACCTCCACCAGCACCTGCTGCTAAAGAGGGCGCAAAGGATGGCGCCAAAGAAGGTGCAAAGGATGGTGCCAAAGAAGGCGCGGCAGCCCCAGCAAACGGCACCAAGCAGCCTGCAGAAAGCCAAGAAACCCTCGCCAATGGCCCCTCCGAGGCCGAGAAAGAGCAGCCTGCAGCGTCGGAGTGACCGGAAAGGGTAGCTTTACAGAAACACAAGAGCCTTACTGTCAGTAGATGGAAGCGTGTTTTATTTCTGATGATTTCCAGACCTGTTTGTCCCGTACGGATCTTTTGTAGAGATCTGCATCAGGATGTCTTTATATCAGCGCAGAGCATTCATAATTAGTATCACCACAGCAGTTGTATTTTTACTGTTTTCCTCTTGTCCAAGTGTGTCTTCACTGAGATGCCTGTGATCTCAAGTTCAGATCTGAAACTGTTACTGAGAGTTAAACTGAATACTCTATGATATGCTACTGCACTAATATGATAATGATCTCAAGCTGTGCAATAAGCAGCAATCTTGCATTGCTCTGGCATGAATTCACTAATCTATATGTACAAGATCTAGTTGCCGCGTTTGCAGGAGGAAACAACACCACACACGTTGCACTCACTCTCTTATACCGTCAGATCGGTAGCTCTACATAGTCGCCAGTTCACAACGCAAGGAATTACTCAATTACATTTACATCTGCCTGGTGTTGCTTCACCTGGGGCTCATCTCAGTCACCGTTGGTGGCACAACCGTGCTGAACATGTTGGAATCCTCGGACGCCGAGTTCTTGAACCTGTAGTTGCTGGAAACGGTGGCCTCGGACCCGGGGCTCCTCCTGCTGTTCTCGTGGAGGTAACCTGGCGCCGTCAGCTCGCTCTCGTTGATCCGGATGGGCTTGGACAGCATGGTCACAACCTGGGACATCGTCGGCCTGCGAGCGGCGGCCGCCTGTAAGCAGAAGAGGGCCACCTTGATGTACCTGATGACTTCTTCCTCAGGGTAATCTACAAGGGCTGGATCCACCAGTTCCTTGAGCCTCTTTGCTTCATATAGCTCCCATGTCTGCTGTGAATGTTCAGAGTTAGGCTTTTTTTGGACAAACATTTGTGCATGTTGACAACTAAACAATTTACTGTGCAACTTCAGCTAACATTTTGCCAGGCTGCTGTTGTTGTGAAGTGGTGTTGCGCACTTCTATAGTTCTGTGTATTTTGTGGATGCCAAAACATTCAGAAAAAGCAAGCAGTCAGGCAGATGAAGTGAAAAAGACTGACCTTCTCTAGGAGAACCTTGTCATCCATCAGTATGCTCCTGGAACTACTTGTGCCACTCACTATCTCCAGGACAAGGATACCAAAACTGTATATATCCGCTTTCTTGGTTAGCTGGCCATGCCATGCATATTCAGGTGCAAGGTAGCCTCTGCAAGCAGCCCAACAATCAAGTTACCATAAGGAAATACGATCGCAAATCAAGGCAAGTGCCAAAACTGCAAATAGGTCGATACTCACGTTGTTCCAGCTACTCGGGTGCTGATATGGGTGACATTATCAGGAAATAGCTTGGCCAGACCAAAATCCCCGATCTTGGGGACGTAATTTTTGTCAAGTAGTATATTGCTAGCCTTGATGTCTCTGTGTACAATTGGTGATGCGATCTCTTCATGCAGGTAAGCAAGGCCTCGAGCAACTCCAAGGCATATAGCAGATCTTATGCTCCAGGTGAAGTCAGCGGGCTCACTGTTAGAACCTGCAGAAGCATAGGGTAAATTGTTAATAAGGCAACTAAAGTCAATGTTGCAATTCAATCATGTAGCAAAACATCAATTTTAGTAACAGTAGTACAAGGTTCATACCCAACAGTGCACGGTCAAGACTGCTGTTTTTAAGATATTCATATACCAAAATCCTGTTGTTTCCTTCAACGCAACAGCCAATTAATTCAACAAGGTTGGGATGCTTCACGTTAGTAATGACATCAATTTCTGTCAAGAATTCTCTGATGCCCTGACTGGATTCAGCAGAAAGAACTTTTACCGCGACCTCTCGCCCATTTCGAATGGTTCCCTGCAACATTAAATAACATATGTTAAAACTAAAAGAGATTCATCACTCCATTGGTCTGTACCCTCAAACTGAACAACGGATGACGAAATGAATTGTCACCTTATAAACTGTACCGAAGCCACCTCGACCTACTTTGTTCGTTCGGTTGAAGTTGTCTGTGGCAGATCTTAACTCAGCATAGGAGAAGACCCTTATGTTTATCTCAGAATAAATACCTGAAAGCAGTACAAAATGTGCATTATAACTGGAATATCGCAATGCTAAAAAAATGCAAAAGGAAATGGGTTAGGCATAGTGCACTAGTACATTCATTCTATCTTCTGCAATACACTACAGCCATTTCTGAAATACTTCTGCTATATACTTAGGTCATACAATTGTTCCAAATTGCATCAAGGCATTGAGAGGGAGAAGCGTTGAAAACAGAACTGATTAAAGACTGATACGTGCTGGCTAAATGCATGATAATTTGCAGCTAGCATTAGCATACCAACGCAGCAAATTGTGAAGCATGCAAATACATTTTGCTTACCGCCTATGATGCTGGAGTAAGGATTCTCTTCTTTCTTGGCTCCTCTACGAGGAAGACAACACCAATTCATATCCACACTTGTTACGGTAGCCTTGTGGTGCTCAAATTCAACATGCAGCAGAGCAGAGGAATCTTCTTGAGGCAACTTTTACTCTGCAAAAATGCATTGTCAATTTGCCATGTGTAAGATGAGAGCTGTAATTGCATCTCACTGAGAATTTTTTGCATCCTGACTCCTGAGATACTAATGTTGGATAAAAATAACAGGCATGGCAGATCATTTGAAACAAGTGTCCGGGAAAATTGTCCTATCACTGGCCACGGATCTGATGCATGGTTAGTTCAGAGAGATGGATGGCGAGAACCAGCGAGTGCCCTCTCGTCACTGTCCCCATCCAGGATTCAGGAACACTTGGTTATAGCACGACGATGTGACCTCATAAGCACCAAGATGTCCCTACTCCCTGCCGTCAAGGGAAACATTTGTGACCGAAGGGCACCCTGCCTCTGTCTTACTCTTTACAGCGCAAAGCAGTACAGGGTTGCTGCTGCACTAACTAAACATGCGGTAGATTGGATATGCTCCGCCTACACCAATCCAACTAACCCTGTTCTTTCCTGAGATGAAAGTTCAGTCCGTAGGGAGGAAAGATTTGGTGCTAGGAACAAAGACGATCGAGCACGGCTCATCATTTTGGCTTCAGGCTAAACACTCCCAAATCCTCCTCCGGAACGAAACAAAAAAACTGACGAATAAGTCACCACCTGGCACCTTGGCTTGGGTCTGGCACACGGGTCGAGGAGCGAGGAGAGACGATCATGGCCTTTCTTCTTCTTTTTTAGTTAATAAAGGAACATTTTATTACTTTTTCTATGGCAATACATCGAAAAAAAACTGCCTCTGCTTTTTTCAAGCACACAGCCACGAAAGAGAAAACGACGATCATGGTTTGAGGTTGCCGGGGACTCTCCCGTCGCATCCGATGAAAGAGCAGTCGGGGCGCCTGTGCATCTACCACCAGCACGCAGCTGAGCGGAGACGAGAGATCAGGCGCGGGAGCTCTCGTGCAGGCAGAAAGGATTTTTCTCAGAGATGAGAAAAAAGGCATGAGATGAGGACGGCCTTGTCCACCGCAGCAGGGAGATGCCAGGATCAGGATCCAGGGCAGAAAGGAAAGGCAGGCAGCGATCGCAGAAATGGTCCGAGAGAGAGAGAGAGAGAGAAGGAGGAGAAGATGTCGATCGAGATGGAGAGACTCGTACCTGAGAACTGAAGGGAGCAGGCAGCTAGCAGGTCCCCGGCTCCGTGGCGTGTGCCCTTCTTCTCTTCACTGGCGAGTAGGAGCTAGGAGAGCGGATTGATTGATTATACGGCCGGGACGGTGGGGGCTAGGCGCTAGCTGGGGAAGGGGAAGCCAAGCCGGGAAGGGGAGGAAGAGGAACACGGTGCTTGGGGCTGCAATTATATGTACGTAGATTTCTGTGGCGCTGGGGGCAGGCAGGCTTACTGGCGTGTCGCCGCTTGGTGTGCTATGCTAGCTCCGCCGCCCTCCACTGCTGGAGCTGGACGACGTTGGCAGGGCAGGGCAGGGCAACTGGGAAGGGCATGGTGAGTGCAATAAAGGCGCTGCAGCAGAAGGAAGCGCCTGCGCGGGCGGCCGTGCAGTGCAGCGAGGACGCTACACGTACGGGAACGATTGATTGAACGAAGGAAATGGGAAAACAAAGGAAATGCGGTAGCCGCCGGGAAGGAGGAGGAGGAGAAGGGGTCTTCCCACCTGTCGAGCATGAGCATTGGTGGTGTCAGTAATGAGTGAGTGTGATGTGACCCACCAGCTGATGAGACGCGACAAGGCGTGGTGGATTTGGCCGGGGTCGGGTTAGTACGATGATATTTCTGGCGCCGCCGCGCGGCACCGTTCTCATTCATTCATTCTGTTATTAGAGCGTTTTTAATTTAATGGTTAGTAATTGGTTACCTCTGAGTTTGCATTAAATGTTAGAAATACCTTCTTTATTTCTCTCGAGGAAAATAACTACGTAGACCTTTTTTTATACACCTCTAATCTAACGAAAGACATGTACTCCGTACCTTCTTTATTCTCTTGTGCGATATATGGATTAAGAAAGAGAACAATGTATATAATAGAAAACATTTAAAAAAACCTTCCATATTATAAGTAGTTTTGACTTTTTTTACATCTATTTTGCTATGCATCTAAATGTAATATATGTTTAGATACATAGTAAATTCTATGTAAAAAAAAATTAAAACATCTTATAATTTAAAATAGAGGGAGTACATGCCAAACATATAGGAAATAAAATGTCATCTACGGTATTGTTTGGTTCTAAGGATGTGATGGAACAAAGTGAGATATCCCACTTGGACTTTGTATTTGGTTCAGGGTCGACTAGAGACAACAGAACCATCGTACTAAGAATACGTTCCACGTAGATCTGGGGCTCAGTTGTCCCTGACGGACTCGTCCGTCGCACCTAGGACAAAGGCTGCTTCGGCCTTCGGCCAAGTGAGGGGAAGAAGAAGAGTTGCGAGCGCCGCCTGCGCGGGGAACGAGATCGTCTAACTTCACCTCGAATGACTGCGCTGTGCAGTCACGACATCGTAGACGTCGGCTCACGATCGGACGATGGATACGCTAAAGTGTAATGGGCTGCCCAAATGGCAAGGCCCATCTAGCCCAGAAAGGTAATCGCATCGTTGTCTTCCGTAGTTTCACTCGAAGGCGCGTCGTCGACCGCTTCTGCGCCGGAGTCGAGTCGGTCGTCCCGTCAGCGGTCCTCGCCGAGAGCGCCAAGCGCCGTCGCCGTCGGCGTCGGTGTGCGCGCGCCGTCCTCGCCAAGAGTTGTGCCACGCTGCCCTCGCGGCAGACGCCCGCTTTCGGTTGCCGTCCTTGACGAGCAGCCATCCTCGCCGAAAGCGTGTCGCCGTCGCTTGTTGCCGTCACCGGCCTCATAAATTTCCATGTCGCCCACCTTCTGCACGTCTTCCGCCTCTGCAGAGCTCCGGACATGGCTGCTGTTCCACGGCCTTTTTTCCCCTTTCTAATTTCTATTGCTAGCTTGCACGTAAATTGACATTTGTGCAAGAGCTAGTACTGTGTAACTTGTGATTGTATCAAGGCAACAAATCATGCAAATTGTATAGCTTTCCATTGTGTTGCAAATTGTCCTGGAATTGTAATGCTTGATTGTTGCAAGTTTGATGAACAAAAGGCTCTGCTTTTCACAGATGCAATTCCACGAATGTAGGTTCAGAGATGCACTTGACGCTCTGTTGTTCGAGATGCAGTTCCACTGAACTTACACTTCAATGACAAATATTTCATGAGGCTATTCTTCAAAAGCTACTCTCCTAAACAATCTATGTTTCAGAAGCAACAGATTTAAAAAATATATTCAGATTACGAAGAAATGTCCATGCTACTAGAAATCAAAGAATAACATCATCTGTGATCGTCCCCTGCAAAATAAAAGGTTGAGAACATTTGAGAGAATGTATTGACGGCCATGTATGTTTTAGTAGAATGGTGTAATAGTTTGAAATATTACCGTCGATGATCTGAGAGAATGTATTGATAGCCATGTCTTTGTTCGGACATTTCTTCCATGGGCAAAGAAATACTTGGAGAAATATTTTGCACACTCTACAGTTTCTTGTACTGCTCCTTCTTTTTCTTTTTCTTACCTCCCTTCTTTACAGTTTGTTGTTCCTTTGAACCATTTTCCTTTTCTTACCTCCCTTCTTTGCCGTTTCTTGTTCCTTCAAGTAAAAAAAACAAAACTGAATATATTTTCTTATTGAACATGCTTTGAAGAGAATCAAATGTATTTTGTGTTATCACTTACCTTTGAACCATTTTCCTTTTCCTTACCTCCCTTCTTTGCAAATTTACGTCTTTTGTCAAGCCAATTTCTTTGGCGCCTTGAGGTTTTAGTTTCAATGTCCTTTTTCTTTAGGCTTGCTTGTGCTCAAAGAAATTAATTGAGGCGAATCATTTGTAGGAACATTGATAGGCTCCATTGCACTAGGAAAACCTGTGATTTCTTCTTCGACTTGCTTGCTAACCATGTCAAGTGCATTGTTTACTAATAAGACGACCGTGGATGACTTGCAGCTCGGTGTACCAAATTAAGAAATTTGCGAGTCATATCTTTGTAGCAAAGCATAGTATCTAATTTTGGATCCTCTACTATGTTTCGGCCTTGGTTGTCCTGTACTATCCCACTACGTGCTTCACGAGTCCATCGCTTCAATATATATTGTTCTGGGATTGACTTGATATTCATCAAATCAAGAACTTTCAGAGCATGGGCACACAATATTCCGATTCTATTGAACTGCCCACAGCTGCATGTGCTTGTTTGGTCCAGTAGGGTTACCAAAGAACTTTGTATTCCTTCTCAAGGGTAGGATTTTCATCAAGACTCCCAATTGCTACAAGATATTCATTTTTGTCTTCCAATGGGGTGGTGTATGCTGCCATGGACCTCTCATATTCACATTGGAAAGCTTCAAATATAATTGGTGTGTACAGCTTGCTAGCTTGTATTAACATATGTGTCCTCATTTTGAGTCTTGGTAATTTTTTCCTTGATTCAAATTCAGCTTGCAATTCATTATTTCTTTTATATTCCACAACCCTTTCAAAATGCTTAAGGAATCGAATGATATCAAAATCTGATTTGAAATGCCGCTTCAAGTCGCTGTTTAGGCTCTCACTCAATTGTGTACTCCTCATCCCTAATGTGTACACATTTGTCATATAACATTCAGCCCACTTTTCTTTTACCTTGTAGATACTATCCAACCAAGTTTGCTTGCTGGCCTTTGTCCTCATGATGTTAAATGCTTCTTGAAATGTTGCTTCATCTTCATACTCATACATACATGCACTAAAATCTGCGAGGATACTTGGTTCTTCCTTGCTATCTTCGGCCTTTCTTTTTGGAGGAGTACATGATTCTTCATCATCAGCTTCAGCTAGATTCTTGACAGCATTTTGCATAATATGAAAAGTGCACAGACCATGCCAAGCTTCTAAAAAGACCTCCTTGACAGCCTTTCCCATTGCTGCATCTTGATCAGTATAGATTGTTTTAGGCTGCTTACTATTATGTGCTTTTAGGAAGGTCTCAAATAGCCATCTAAAGGATTCAAATGTCTCATCATACATGAGAGCAGCACCAAAAACTACAGTTTCTCTAAAATGATTGAACCCAACAAATACTCCAAAAGGCCTACTCTCTTTGTTTGTTCCAAAAGTAGTATCAAAACTGACAACGTCCCCAAAATGTGCATAGTCAGTGAGCATTTTAGCATCAACCCAAAATATGTTCGCTATCTGTTCTTCCCGGTCCATTTGCAATGCATACTGAAATGATGGATTCTCAGCAATTTTTTCTCGAAAATACATGAGCATGCTTCCAGCCTGTCCATACGCCATCTCACGTTGGCGCTTGGCCCTTAAATAATTCTTGTGGTCTCGAAGAGTGTAACTGAGATTAACTGAACCACCAACTTGGATGGATGCCAACTCATGTGCAGCTTTTGGCCCAATTCCTGCATCATCAGCTGTCTCAATTTCAAAACCTTGTATCTCTGAAATTTTCCTCTGAGACACCAACAAATGTGAGGTTTCCGGCAACTGGAGGGTGTGATTGTGTTCTAA